AGAGTTGCAGAGAAGATCGAATTTGGAGAGAGGCCCCAGACCCCAGACCCTGCTTTATTTGTTTGTGTGTTTGTCTAACTGGCGCGACTGGGGAAATCGAGCTCAAAGGGGAATGGGACAGACCCCCCCTAGATGAATGTCTAGGTTGATGAACACACATAAGGAGGTGAACAACGACTCTCCTGGGGGCAGGGAGGGGTGGGCAGGGAAGCCCAGGGTTTAAGGAAAGACTTCCTTTGGGACGGTTAAAGATTAACCAAAGTCTTGCAAGTTGCTAGAGAGTGTCTAGCCAGGAGGACTGTTCGCTGGCGGGCGGCAAGCGGGCGCGGGTTTGATTTCTGAGCCCTATAAAAAGCCCATCCTCCGATGGCTGTGACAATGTGGTCGTAAACCCGTCCGGGGCCGGCCAATTTGCATATTTGGAATGCGCCGCTATAAACCCGGCTGGGGTTTTGCAGCAATTTCTTAGATGTAAAAATGAGATCTGTTTAGCAGCGAGCTGGGCACATTCTTTCCCTCTGTCTATGCCTAGAGCCTGCTTCCCTCTCCCGGCTCCCGGCTGAAGTTCGGGCCGGGCCTAGTCACTCAGCCGCCACGAGATGGCGCACGTCCGATCAATGTCAAAGCCGCCGGGGAGCCGGGAACCCCAGCGCGATTCTTGGCCTTTGTTCGCTTCTGATACTAAGAGCAGCACGTTACATTATTTCACTTGTCCCGATCCCCTTAGTATCAAAATAAGGGGGGGGGGCTCACCTTCAAGAAGTAATTGGTGTTGTAATTTAAAGCAACGCGCCTTCTCTAGGCCTCGCAGGCGTCGCGCCGCGGAGAAGCCTGCTTGCTGTCCCTTGGCAGTGATTTCGGAAATATGTCAAGGTAAGAGGCCACAAGTTTAGCAATTTCAGTCTGGCTGAGTCGGGAGTGGGGAGGTGGCCCATGTCAGAGCATGACTGGGATAAGTGGCTGGGTTTGTGCGCTCCGGGTGACGCTATAGGCGCTCAGCCCACCCCCTCCTTTCTCCCATCGCTCCCTAAGGTTGGAAAGCAGAGGGAGGCCTAAGTGGAAAAGTTGACGATTTTAGCTCCTTGCGCCAGCGGTGCACCCAAGGCGACCTTTCAATTTTGTAGAAATATGCAGAATGGGATGAGTCAGGGATGGGGGGCATCCAAGTGAAGGGGTTCTGGCAGTGCCGGGGTGGGGGTTGTGGTGGCAACAAAAAGAGAAAGAGAGAGAGAGTGAGAGAGATGGCGGTACTGGGGAAAACAAAGTTTCTACTCTAAACAATGAGGTGGTTAGCAACCGTGGCCGCTGAGGCTGTCTTATTCCCTGGGCAGATATCCGGGAGGTCTCTGGTTTTCTACTAGGTGCAGTCTCTAGGTCTGTCCAGCAGCCTGGGGAAAACCTTTGTTCTGAAAAAGGCCAATTCCAAAAAGTCGCATATGATTTTTGAGGCTTCCAGAGAAGCTGTATTTGCCTATTTGGGATGCACTGCTACAAACCTAGCTGGGGTTTTGCAGTGATTTCTTAGATGTAAATATGAGATATTTTGCAAATATGTGAAAACTGTATTGGTATATACCCATACATTTTCAAAAGCTAGCATGGAGGATAAACTCTGATCACAGTCTCTCCATCAGGGTTGTCACACAACAAGTTTTAAATACTCAGTTCACTTAACGTTTCGGAGGCTAGATTCAAATATCCTCTTTTCTTATGTTTAAGTTTTTATCCCAATATGTTTTCATTAGTTTCTTGAAATCACTATTTTCACAAATATATAGTGCATGGGTGAATGGGGGGAGGGAATCTCAGAGAAAATATGAGTTCCGTGTGTGTGTGTGTGTGTGTAAATCTTGCCTATCAAAAGTCACTAGTCTTTGTTGAGTGTGGGCTCCCAAACTCTGCCAAAATAAGGCAACCACAGGAACCACACCAAGTGGGCACCCGCACCACGCTTTCTGCAGCCTGAGCCTTCCCTAAAATCCCAGAGCCACCTCTGGTTTCAAGGCCAGAGGCAGTTTATTATGGACAAAATTAAGCATATTGTAATTTGGGGAGTGTGTGAAAAGGCCCCAACACTCCCCCATGAGGAGAGAAGGGCCAGTTTAGTGGTTGGATTTAGAGAAAAATTTAAAGCGGGTTGTTTAGGGATAGATTGCACCTGATTAATTCAAAACAGACACAACAAATTTCCCTGGAAATGTTGACATTCTTAAAGATGAACGAGAAAGAACGTCATGGCTTACAAAAAAATTTTCTAACCATACAGTAAATGTGAGAATCAGAGAAGTCCAGATTTTTTGTTAAAGTGGATATGTGAAAGGAGCGCTTATTTTCCTTCTGTGGGGTCGCAGCCCAACTCCACAACCGGTCAGATAATTCTGAGCCTGGAAAACACTGAGAACGACTTCCAGATACAAACTGTTTACTGGCTATCCCCATCTCTGTACCTAGTATTTTTAAAAGGAAGTGGGGTTTTGGGTAGTAACAGTTTGTTATTTCTCATCGTTTGCAAGGGCCTGGTCAGAAGGAGGAATCCGCTATCGGGTGAAATGCACCGTGATCCTCGCCAAAGGGCTTTTTCCACTTGCCTGGCCTTTACTTGGGCTCCACAGGCACGGGGAGGGTGAGCGTTATTACCCAGGTAGAAATGGATGATATTTACTCCGAAATAAAACGTGGGCCTTGGGGGCTGCACATAACCTCTACACAGGCCTGGTTGAAGGAAGCATGCACGGAGAGCTTTAGGTCAAAGGCATCCTGAGGGGGACAGTGAAATTCAGCTGCTGGGAGGGAGGGTGAAAGGGAGAGAGGGAAAGACCGCAAAGGGGCTAGAGGGAAGACAATATCCAGGAGCCGACCCATGCTGCAACTGAATCGCTTTTCTTAATCTCTGGGGATGGGGGACCTTGAGAAGGCCCTGGCGATCGATAAACCGAATATTCTATTGAGGAAGTTAACACCTCGGTGTTATAGTCTGGGGAGTGCGGAGCCTTGGTCGGGGGGGGGGGGGGGGCGCGCGCGGTCCGGGATGCTGGGAGCTCCAAGACCAGTTGAAAGGGCAGCAGCATCTAACTTGAGCTTCTGCTGCGTGGATATCTTCTTGTGCGAACCAGCGGCAGCAGGCCGGCTGCGTCCCAGGCCCTGGGGCAGGCTGTCGGTTCGCTCGCAGCTCGGCCAGCCTCGGTGGGGGTGGGGCGGCGGTCTGGGACCAGAGAGGAACTCTTACCCGGGCTTACACACTCTTCATCATCGTCATCTTTTTTTTTTTTTTAAAGCAAGAAACAGCACAAACTCAACATCCCATTTGGTTTATTGCAAGGGGGAGAAAAGAGGTTGGAGAAAAACATTCAGCTTTCCCAAAGGTCAGTGAAGACCCAAGTGCCAATGCCATGGTCTGCAAGCCTGCAGCGGGCTTTCCACCTCCTCTAAGTCCGCCGCCAAGGGGGCCTTCTTAAAGCAGATGCAGTACCAAGCTGGCTTTTGTCACCTTGGTTGGCACCTGTGTGTTCTTGGATCCCATCCCGCCTAGAAGCCCATTTGGTCACCCTACAGGGCGCTGACCAGGCTGAGCCTGAGATGCCTACAGCCAGGCACCCGGCTTGTCTTACCAGTCAAACTGGCAGGGTTGCTGAATTCCTGAGAGTTCTGGAACATTCTGGAGGGCCCAAGGAGAAGGCTGTAAGGGGTCTGTGAACTCCTTGAAAATGATGGGTCAAATTGTGGGAATGCCCAGATGTGCATTTTTCACAGGATAAGAATCAGAGCTTGGCCTTAGCTTTTCCAAGGGGGCCTTAACTTTCAAAAAGAAAGATAGGCTTAGATCATTGACTTTCATTTTATTTTCTTAGCTTCTGCCATCTCAAGCATTCTCTCCTATAGCCACTGGCTCTTCCCTTCCCAGCCTACAGCCTTGGGAAAGCTGCTTTCTGCTTTTAGTGTGGAGAGGAACCAAATCCTGGCCCAAACGGTCTGCAGGGACTCATTCTCCTCAAGGACTCCTCTCCTGTTCTTGGGCCTTACTTCACACTCTGCAGAGCTTTCTTGATTGGCAAGCACAGTGCTTTGGGGCAAAGCCCCCTTCTCAGGCAGTCCTCAGTTCTGTGGCATTTCCCAGTAGCACGCTGAGTGCAACAGTCCCAATGCGTTCCACCCTCCTGGAGAGCTGGATAAGGACCAAGCCCATCCAGACAGGGGTCCTAGGTTGTCCTGCTCTGAAGCTTTTCCCTATTCAAGTTTGTTGGCCTCTGGGCCTAGCCAGGTTAGAATTTGTCTTGGCCTCGTTCGCCGGAAGGAGGTGGGGAGTGAAGGACAGTTCCTGATCTCTCCACACAGACTTGATTCGGCCGCTGCTGCTACTTGGGCCTCAGGATCTCGTTGGATTGGAGAGAATTGGTTCTCAGACTCTCTCCCCTTCTCCCCCCCGCCCCTTTCCTTTCTCTCCCTCAGCCCTTCTCTCCTTCTTGTCTCGATCCATCTCCCTCCTCTGCACCCCAGACGCTCGGTCCGCGGAGCCAGTCACCGTGAGGCACAGGCCGGCCGGGTGGAAGTGGCTGGAGCGCAGCGCAAGCCGTGGTTCGCCAGCTCTGCAGAGTGGGAAGCGGGGGTGCGGCGGCCCGCGGAGCAGCCACAACAGGCGCAGACCGCAACCGCTTGCATCTCAGAAGCCCGCGTCAGGGCTCTCCCGCCAGCCCTCCCGGCTACTCTCTCTCTGGGTCTTCTCGGGCTCGGCTTCCTTCTCCGACTAGGTGCACGACGGGAGGAACAAGGCCAAGTGCCTGGCACATCACCCGGGATGCAAGGGTCTTTCCCCGCTGTACGCAGAGGCCTGAGCGCTCTGCTTCTTGGGATCCCGGCGTTCGGCAGCGCCAGTCAAGGCCTCTGCAGGGGCTGGAGCTGGTGCGGCGGGCAGGCCTGGGGCATCCTGGAGAGCTGTGGCCCACAGGCCTGGGGCAAGGCAGCGAGCTCCCGGGCTCCACTGGATCCGGCCGGAAAAGGTATCATTTCCTGAGATACGTATGAGGCCCACACCGGGGCTAGCGCCCTGGGCCAGCAGTTTCCAGTTGACTAAGAGCGCGTCCCTACGGCCAGGGACGAAGGAGGCCCTGGAGTCTACTGAGCAAAGGGCCTGGCCTCCGAACGCTGCTATAAATGGGCCACGAGCCCAGCCCGGCCTTGCCGGGACGGATTTCCTCACCGCGGGTCTCGTTAAAATGCGCACACCGCAGGAGTGAGGGCTGCCCCAGCCGCGGGTTTAGAGGGGAGGGGGGAAGAGGGGAGGGGACGGAGAGGCAGGAGTGTGGTGACACTGGTTCCTGTCATAACCTCCGAGAGCGTGCGAATGCCAAGGCTAAAGGGAGAGCTTGAGGCGAAGGCGTCCATCCGCCGCCCCCTCCTCCAAGTTTCCCCCTCCAGGTCTTGTCTCCCGTCAAACCGAAGACCCTGAAGAGCAATGTTTCTTTCACTTCCCAGAAGCGGCATATGAGCTTGGAAGCTACCCGGGTGATGGGGCTGTGGGGTGCCTGGATCTGGCTGGGACCTCCAAATCGGGGTAGGGCAGTCTTTCAGCCAAGGTTACCAGTTGCTTTTACCAACACCCCCCGCCCCCCCGCCCCAGCTTGTTTCAGCTCACCAGGGTCCACCGACAGGAGCTGCAGAGAAAGCAAGCCAGGTGAGCACGCCAGAAGCAAAGATCCTAACTGGATCAACGACTGGCCGAGGGGAGTGTAGAGAGATGAGAAGCCATTTTGGGGAAAATTCTGTGTGGGGTGCAAGAAAGAAGTGTCAATAGCCAGCTGCCAGTGAGCGCTGGATCTCGGGACACTCTAAGGGTCTTCTTGGTGGCTTTAGGGCCAGGTCTGCCACTTTGGGGAGACAGCTCCAGGTCCCGAGCTGAAAAGGAAGAGCCTGAGGCCCCCACAGGTCCCCTTAGTGGTTAGAGTGCCTGGAGAGCTAGTGGCTGATTCCGAAACAAGAATGGGGAGCACCCAAGGCGGGCCGGGGTGCGCACCATAAACACCCCACTTGTTAACTGCGCGGGGGGCCCAAGGGCCCTTCAAACAGACCCGACAGGAGGGCTCACGTCCGAGCGTGGGCGGGGCTAGCACAGGGGCCAGGCCCCCCACTAGCCACGTTGGGGCAGCCCCCACAGCTCCTGGCCTTTGGGCTGAGGTATCGGGTGTGCGTCTCCCGGCCCATCAATACAGATTACATATTTATATCAATCATGCGCTCAGAGGGCGCCCTCGGAGAGCGGCCCCGCGCCTACGAAACCAAACTGGGAGTGGTCGCGCGGAAACTCTGGCTCAGGATTGGCTGCGGGCACCCGCCGCGATGCGGGGGGATTGCTAATCGTATTCAGCATGTTTTGCACAAGAAATGTCAGCCAGAAAGGGCTATCTGCTCCCTTCGCCAAATTATCCCACAACAATGTCATGCTCGGAGAGCCCCGCCGCGAACTCTTTTTTGGTCGACTCGCTCATCAGCTCGGGCAGAGGCGAGGCTGGCGGTGGTGGCAGCGGCGCGGGGGGCGGCGGCGGCGGCGGCGGCTACTACGCCCACGGCGGGGTCTACCTGCCGCCGGCCGCCGACCTGCCCTACGGGCTGCAGAGCTGCGGGCTCTTCCCGGCTCTGGGAAGCAAGCGCAATGAGGCGGCGTCGCCGGGCGGCGGCGGCAGCAGCGGGGGCCTGGGTCCCGGGGCGCACGGCTACGCGCCCGCACCTTTAGACCTGTGGCTGGACGCGCCCCGGTCGTGTCGGATGGAGCAGCCCGAGGGGCCGCCGCCGCCGCCGCCCCAGCAGCAGCCACCGCCCCCGCCGCAACCACCCCAACCCCCGCCGCAGGCCACCTCGTGCTCTTTCGCGCAGAACATCAAAGAGGAGAGCTCCTACTGCCTCTACGACTCGGACAAATGCCCCAAAGGCTCCACCGCCACAGCCGAGCTGGCCCCCTTCCCGCGGGGCCCGCCGCCCGACGGCTGCGCCCTGGGCACCTCCAGCGGGGTGCCAGTGCCCGGCTACTTCCGCCTCTCCCAGGCCTATGGCACGGCCAAGGGTTACGGCAGCGGCGGCGGCGCGCAACAGCTCGGCGCCGGCCCGTTCCCCGCTCAGCCCCCCGGGCGCGGCTTCGATCCGCCACCCGCGCTCGCCTCGGGCTCAGCGGATGCAGCCCGGAAAGAGCGAGCCCTCGATTCACCGCCGCCCCCTACGCTGACTTGCGGTGGCGGCGGCGGCGGCGGGGGCTCACAGGGCGACGAGGAGGCGCACGCGTCGTCCTCGGCCGCAGAGGAGCTCTCCCCAGCCCCTTCCGAGAGCAGCAAAGCCTCGCCCGAGAAGGACTCCCTGGGTAAGCCGGGCGCGCCGAAGGGCCGCAGTCAGGCGAGCAGACAGGCCGACCCAGAGAAGGGAAAGAGCAGAGAGCCAGGAGTGCGCGCAGCAGCCGGCCGGCCTTGGCCCAAGCTGCAGGCAGGCTGACCTTGTGAACTTGCTTTTTAATATTTGGGCGTGGGGACGCAGTAAAAATTCATGTCCGGCTTAGCGCCCCACACCAAGACGGCCGCCGCGCTGGCCTCAGCTCACCCCCCATTGGGGGCGAGGGCATGGACGAGCAGCCCCCCTCTTGTGCATGCCCTTCTCCGTGGCCCGGAGCACCCTAAGCCGTGGTCTGGGCCCAGCCTGCGAGGCGCGGCCCACGCGGGGGGAGGGGGAGGGAGGAAAGTGGCTCGCCCGCAGATAGCGCGGATGTTTGTAAGGCATCCAAAATAAGCAGCCGCCAGCACCAATAAATAAGCCCATTAACCGGCGAAGTTCGAGTTTACGATCCCCCATGCTTTTTTTCAAAGTTGCTGGAGGGGCGGGAATCCTTGCGGGGAGAAGAAAAGGCAAATCCGGCCGGGTCGGCGGGGCCCTGAGCCTAGAGTCAGAAAGGGGCCATTTCGCTTCTCCTGGAACTCGGAATCGCCCAGACTGCCCGTCCCTGGCTCCTGGAAAGACGTGAGGGACGGCCCTTGACCCCGATTCGGTTTTTCGTGCCTTCCCCATGGCCCAACGATGTCCTTGTTCCTCTCCTCATTGGGCCTTAGGCAATCAGGGGACGGGAATGGGACAAAGCCACGCTGCCGGCCTCCCTTCCAAGTGAGCACCCAGGTCTCCAGCCTGGGGGCTGCAGGAAATGTTTGTCTGCCTTGGGGCAAGAAGCAAAGAAAGGCGTTAAGTTCAAGATACACAGCCTGCCCTCCCAGGCCGTTCTGTCTGTGAGCGCCGGACAGCTTTGTGCTAAAACAGGTGTTTGGGGAAAAGTGGAGGAAAATGTAAATCGGGAAGGCAGGTGTAGATTGGAGGCCCTCTCCATTTTGCTCATGCCCTTTGGAGGAACTGCTCTTCCTGAGCAAGCTAAAGGGGTGTGTACGTGTAAAACTCTCTCTGTGTGACTTAGGGCATCCAAGTCCCAAATTCACCCCTGCGCACAGCCTAGCGTGGCCCCTATTTAACCTTCCCTTCTTTATTCTCTTAAATGCTAGGCAATTCCAAAGGCGAAAACGCAGCCAACTGGCTCACGGCAAAGAGCGGCAGGAAGAAGCGCTGCCCCTACACCAAGCACCAGACGCTGGAGCTGGAGAAGGAGTTTCTGTTCAACATGTACCTTACTCGAGAGCGGCGCCTAGAGATCAGCCGCAGCGTCCACCTCACGGACAGACAAGTGAAAATCTGGTTTCAGAATCGCAGGATGAAACTGAAGAAAATGAACCGAGAAAACCGAATCCGGGAGCTCACAGCCAACTTTAATTTTTCCTGATGAAGCTCCAGGCAATGCCGTTTTTTCGCTGCCAGAGAGCCGTTCTCCTCCCTCTGCCTTCGGCCTCTGCCCAGGAACTCGCACCTGTGCCGGAGCCCCGTTCCTCCCTCCCACACTCGCCATCTCGCTGGCCGTTACATCTGTGCAGGGCTGGTTTGTTCTGACTTTTTCTTTGTCTGCTCGCTTGGTGCTGGTTTACTTGTTTTCTGGGGGAAAAAGCCATATCGTGCTAAATTTCTATAGAGATAAATATTATCCTCAAGTGTTGAGTGGTGACCGGCTGGTTTGCTGTCTCGGGGTTCCTCTGCTGGAAATGGCTCCTGTCCTCCCGGTGGAGCTGGTTTCCTGCGGGGGCGGGCAAACCTAGCCGGAAGACCGAGGTCCCATTGTAGGCGCTGAGGTGTCTGGCCTGAGGTCAATGGTGCAAGGAGCCGCCACCGGGCTCGCCTGCCTGGAGTGCTGGGCTGTGTTTAATCAGGGGACACAGGCCCCTGGGTTTCTTTTTTCTTTCTTTCTTCCTTGGCAAAGAGAAGGGCTTGCAAGCATGGACATGCAGGCTGGCAAAAGGGCTTGGCTTTGGCTGATGAGAAAATTGAGAGTCAGAAAGATTAATCTTTCTTTTCTCTGTAAGATATCCCAGCTCTAAAAGGGGGGGAAAAAAAAAAGAACGACAAGGAGAAGGAAACTTCTCTTCCAGTTTGTGTGAGGTCTTGCATTGTGGGACTAAATTATTTCACTTACCTCTGAACTTCCATATCCTTCTGGCTGTAGATAAATAATCTAATATAGTTTTGTTTATGCGTGCGGATTTAGTGGGGGTTTTTGGGTCATCAAATAATTGTTACCACTGGTAACGCGACAAGCACACCACAATTCTCCCTATCTTGTGGAGAGTTTTCTTTCTCATTTTCTTTTTTCTTCTTCCTCTTTTATTTTTTCTTTTCTAAAATTCACAGAATCCGAGGAGGGCTGGGCAAGCAGATTAGACTAGAGAAGGGAGACATTGTTTGGGTTTCCTTTATACTGTGAAGTTACATGCATAAAAGGGTCAAACCTGTAGGTGCAGAAAAAGAAAAATTATAAATACAAATCTGTATAAATGTTTATTATTATGAAAAATTGCCAATCTTGTTTTATGCAAATGCATTCTATCATTATTATAAATGTTAGTTCTAGCTCTATTTACTTCTAATCTTAAATCAGAATAAATTAATATTGTAATGCTGCTGTGCGTGGAAAAAAGACGATGTTTATGTTCTTATAGAAGAATAAAAGCTGTGGAATGAAGCTTTTTAATTTTACCTCTTTTTTTGACTTCTTATCTTCACCTTCCACTTTATCCCGTTCACCACTTTTACAACAGGAGGACTAGCCCGCGCCCCCTGCAATTACTTTAGGCATCTATTTAAATATTACCTAGACGGTCGTAATTTGTCTGGGCCCTATAGCCCTGGTGCCGTAAGGTTTGTCGGCTTTTGTTCAGTTTTATGACTCGCTAGTATATCTGGATTGTAGCTGTCCTGGACCAGTGGTTTCAGTTGAGAGGGGAGCTGCATAGACAGAGGAAGCCAAACAGGATTTCTTTCGGGAGCCCCAGGGAGGCTCGCAGACGCCGGTTGTTTTGTGGGTCCCCTGGTCTTAGATGACCCCCAGCCTAGGAATCCGGGGAGCAGGCTGGGCCCAGAGCGCGTCCCTAGCATCCGCGGCAGCAGCTAGGTAGCCTGCTGCGGGCTGCAAGCCCCCCTCCCCCAGCACGGCCTCCCCCACCTGGTCGCCCTCAGCGGGGCCACGCGTTTCCTGCTCGCGGGAGGTGGGGGGGGGGGCGACCGCAGGGGGAGGGGGCGCGGGAGCGCGCGCCCCGGCTGGCTGGCTGGCTGGGAGGGAGAGAGGGGGAGAGCGAGCCGTGGGGAGCGAGCGCCGGAGGCCGAGACAAGACAGGGAGCTGGGCTCGGTGCCGTCCCCGGCGCTTTCGAGTCGCCCAGGGCTGCCGCCGCTTGGCGCCGGCTCGCTGAGAAGCAAGATTTGGGAAACCAGCACGCACACTGCTCACTCTCCTTTCTTCTCGCTTTTCCTTCTCCTTCCATTTTCCTCTCTCTCCTTTACCTTCCTCCCCCCTCTCTCCCAGGTTTAGCTTACCGGGGCCGGTGGCTTCTCCCTCGGTGAGGCCTTAGCGGCAGCGCGGGACACACAGTGGCAGCGCGGGCGCAGGTTGGCAAGGGGCCGGGCCGGGCGCGATCGCAGGGTTCTCGCTTGGCTGCGGCGGTGGCGGCGGCGGCGGCGGTGGCGGCGGCGGCGGCGGCGGGCGAGGCAGCCCCGCGCGGGCAGCACCAGAACTGGTCGGTGATTTAGGTAGTTTCCTGTTGTTGGGATCCACCTTTCTCTCGACAGCACGACACTGCCTTCATTACTTCAGTTGAAATCGTCTCCAGGTACCTGTGCGCGCGGGGGCCGGGCCAGGCGGGGCATCCGGGCCCTGGTCGTGCCAGGCCTGCGGTGGCAACCTCGGCTTTTCCCACGCAGGAGCCTCGTCCCTGCCTCCTTCCCAGCGCTTTGCCAGGCTGTTGGCCTCAATCCCTATCCCCACCTGGCCCTGAGCAGGTATGGTCAGGTTAGCCGCTCCTTGGCGGACGCCGGGGGCGTGGTAGGAATTCTGGGCCCTGAGCCATTCAAGGTCAGGGGCGCACGCTTCCATCCTGGGCCTCCCCCAACTCCGGGCCATTCTCTTGCAAGGCTGGGACGCTACCAGCCCCAATCCAGGGTAGGAGACCAGGAAAGATCCCTCTGAGAGAGACTCAGGCCAAACTAGGAGGGACAGGGCAGAAAGGGGCTGGGATCCTGGCCTTGTCACTTACCCTTCTCTCTGTAAGCCGCCCTCTGCTCCCAGGAGTCGCCTTTGACTCTTTCCTTCCTTCTTTTCTTCCCTCCTTTCTTCCTCTTTTTTCTTCTTCTTTATCTTTCCCTTTACTTCTTTCTTTCCTTCCCTTCATTTCTTTCATCTTCGGTCTCTCTGTGCCCAGTTTTCCATCTCCACTTCCTGTCCTCCCATCTCTTCCTCTGGGAGGGACCCAGGGCTAGCTTGGGGAGAGCCTGGGGCGGGGATCTTATTTTTTGATGCGTGTTCAAGTTGTGGTCAGAATCTGCCAAGGAAGGGCTCGCGTGGGACAGCTGTCGAGGGCTGTGGATCAGGGCCTGGTGTGCCACTGCACAGACAAGACCTCGGTTATGATCACGACCTGATGGCGGCGGCCTTGCGTTCTTACTCCGTGGGTCGGCAACCACAGCCTAAGAGATCCGATTAGGGGGCATTCGCGGCGTTTCTGTGTGCCCACACCGAGGGCAAGGAGGCCTTCGCTGGCCTCACGGGGCACTTGAGGCTGGGACCTGGGCTGAGGCCCAGCCAGGCTCTGTGGAGCCTGGCCACGCAGGGAACCGCGCCTGGAAGCTTCCTCCGCTTTCCGGGGCCTGCCGGTCCCAACTCTGGCTTTAACCACTGTAAGGGAGCCCGGCTAGGGCAAAGATTGGTTGCTTGATTGCCCGTAGCTTCTATCAGGTTCAGAGTCTGTTAGAAATGGCATCCTTGTGCGGGCGGGTGCTGGAGAAAGGGACCCTTCCAGCTCCAGTCTGTTTCAAATAATAGGGGAAAGGAATCTTAAATTCCACAACCATTGTATTACAAACTTGAGCCCTTGTTGCAAGTTGTAGTCCACCATTGGAAGCCAGTCGAAGGATTCTTGCTACCGAACTGAAAACAACTTTCATCCCCTCCCTGCCCCCAAACACACACACACATACACACACACACACATGCAGGGGCCTTCAGACTCATGCCCACCCAGCTGTGTTTCCCTTCCCAGCTCTGGCTGTGGGCCCTGGAACTGTTTCCATTGCTCTGTCTGCGGTCCTGTTATCTGAAAGGCCAGCACACCGCTCTCCTCTCAACTCCTCTGTACCATTTTCCGGACCAGAGTATTGGATTTGTTTTGGAGGCCAAGGTTTTAGAACTCTCAGGCGAAAAGAGGCGGTTTGTAATTACATCCATTTATTTATTTTTTAAAAATATACACACGCAGTCCCTTTCATTTCCAAAATAAAAGCTGATTCAAAAGCCTGAATATTTTCTCCCCAAATCTCTGGGCAGAAGAGAGGTCATATTAGGTTTTTCTGATTTTTCTCCCTTTTTAGGCATCAGTAAGGCCTGCTTAACACTCCACGCCTGCTAATTATGTGGTAACTGTCCTATTTTGGGAGCTAAGGCTATTTAAACAGACTTTTTATTTAAAAAAAATACTAATAATAATTCAAGGCTTCTCTGGGCAAAAAAGTCGAAAAGCAACTAGGCGAGTCCAGCCTGTTGGCAGACAATTACAATTAGGAGCGAGGTTTCCTCCAGGGTTAATATTTCTTAATGAAAATCTCAGAGGCACCGCGAACTGCCCAATATTTGGGACACACCGGGATGCGGTGGGGGTGGAGATAAGGTAGAGGAATGTAAAGGAAAAGGACAATATTACGGGGGAGGAGGCTAAGGCGACCGGGACCAGCCACATCGGAGTTCGCTGTGTCGGCCACTTCCCTCTTCCGGCGAGAGCGGATAACGGGGCACCCGGTTGGTCTCCGCCACGCTTCGCAGCCTCGATCTGGGGGAGAGCCCGGCATTTGAGGGTCCCCGTCCCGGATAGGGATGTATCAGGGTTTGGGGGAGGATTACTGGAACTGTTGGGGAGGATGGAGGCAGAAAAGGAGATGGAAGCGCCCTCGCCGCCTGCCCGCGCCGCCAGGGAAGTGGGCTAATGAGAAACACACTCTTGCAGGCACAGTGTTCACACGTGAATTTAATTACCCCGTTTTTAGGAGTCGCTGCTTTCCGTTCGGATTTGGGGTGGGTTTTTTCTTCCAACTAACAGAGGCCGCGAGGCCTCTTAATTTAACCCTGAAAGACTCTTAAGGGGTGAGAAATACCCTCCTCAATGTGGCCAAGCCAAGGAATGGGATTAAAGTCAATGCCCCGTGCCCCTCCCCGTTTTAATTTCTAGCCCTGGACTTGAGCTGCGGTCGCCTAGCTTTGGGCCTTGTAACCCTGTGGAGCCGTCCGGCCTGGTGAAAACCGAGGCGGGGCCCGGGGCGGGGGCCAGAAAGAAAGGAAGGAAGGAGCCCTGAAGAACTCATACAGGGCCCGAGGCCAGCCGCTCCGGTGCGGGCCTCCCAGCTACCCGAGCTGCGCGGTCTCTTTGGCCGAACTGCGTCTCGCAAGCCGATCTCGCCTTCCACTGAGGCTGCCTCGTGTTTTTTTTCGCAGCTAGGGTTTGGGGAGTGCGACAAAGCTTGCAGAGCTCAGCGTGAGGGCCTTTGAGGTCGGGGCACAGTGTTGGGTCGCCTGCTGCGTTCGCCTGGGTGTCGTGATTCCCGGCTGAGGACCCGAGGACCCGTAGGGCGCGGGGGCCGCGTGTGCGCGCGGCCGGGACCGAACCCGCAGCACAACCTGGCCCTCAAACCCTTTGGCTCAGGGACAGCCGGCCGCTCCTCGGTCGGGCGCTAGCTGTTAGCAAAGCGGCGAAGCTGGGAGCTAGCTGCCCGGGTGCCCTGGGATCCAATGGGGCAGATTTCCGGGCCCCACAATAGGCGGTGCCCTCTCGGAGGCCTGTCCTTGCCCAGCGCGCTCGGGCAGGGGCGGTGGTGGCTCAGTTTGGGATGGATACTGCGTTGAATTTGACTTGTCGCGGCCGGCCCGGGGTAAACTCGCATCTCTGGGGACTGCAGGAATTATTTACAGGGAGCTCGCCAACCAAACACAACAGTGTAATTTAACCTTTCCAAGTCCTCGTAAATTTTTACAGCTGGGAGCCATGGCGAAGCAACCGAATCTGCTGGTCGTTCCCAACTTCCCACCAGCCTGTGTGGCTTCTGAAACAATAACTCCTTATGAAATATCATAAATATAGATTTAAATACAGTAGAGCGAGAATGCGATTTGGCTGCTTTTTTATGGCTTCAATTATTGTCTAACTTTATGTGAGGGGCTCCACTGGCCGCACTTGCACGCGGGACCCGCGCCTTGCTGATGGCGTGATTAATTGTGATATAAAATAGTCCGCTTAGGAAGTGTGCGTCTGGTGGTGGCGGTGGGAGGGGAGGGAGTGCAGAGGCAAGGCCAGATTTGATCTTTTAATCTTCGTTGGCCACAATTAAAACAAACCCGATCGTGGAGCGCCGCGATCCCTTTGCATAAAAACATATGGCTTTTGCTATAAAAATTATGACTGCAAAACACCGGGCCATTAATAGCGTGCGGAGTGATTTACGCGTTATTGTTCTGCCGGGCGGGCACGTGACGCGCGCGGCCAATGGGGGCGCGGGCGCTGGCAACTTATTAGGTGACTGTACTTCCCCCCCTGGTGCCACCAAGTTGTTACATGAAATCTGCAGTTTCATAATTTCCGCGGGTCGGGCCGACCGGCCAGGCACGGGGCACAGCGATGGCCACCACCGGGGCCCTGGGCAACTACTACGTGGACTCGTTCCTGCTGGGCGCCGACGCTGCGGACGAGCTGGGCGCGGGCCGCTACGCGCCCGGGGTCCTGGGTCAGCCTCCCCGGCAGGCCACCGCGCTGGCGGAACACCCCGACTTCAGCCCGTGCAGCTTTCAGTCCAAGGCGGCGGTGTTCGGCGCCTCGTGGAACCCGGTGCACGCGGCGGGCGCCAATGCGGTGCCCGCCGCAGTGTATCACCACCATCACCACCACCCTTACGTGCACCCCCAGGCGCCCGTGGCGGCGGCGGCCCCGGACGGCAGGTACATGCGCTCCTGGCTGGAGCCCACGCCCGGCGCGCTCTCCTTCGCGGGCTTGCCCTCCAGCCGGCCTTACGGCATTAAACCTGAACCACTGTCCGCCAGAAGGGGTGACTGTCCCACGCTTGACACTCACACTTTGTCCCTGACTGACTATGCTTGTGGTTCTCCTCCAGTTGATAGAGAAAAACAGCCCAGTGAAGGCGCCTTCTCCGAAAACAATGCTGAGAATGAGAGCGGCGGAGACAAGCCCCCCATCGATCCCAGTAAGTGTGTCCTCCCTTCAGGCCGGCCGCCGCCTCCACGCCGGCCACCAGGATCTGCCAGCCCTTCAGCTTTCTCTCGAGCCTGCCTTCGCCTGCGCTGGGAGCCTCTTGAGCAGGGGCCGGGAACCAGAAGTTGCTGTTTAGAATGCCTCAGATGGGGCCCCAATTCCAGAGAACAGTGACAAGCTGGCTGCCGCGTTCGGGGGGAGGGGAGGCGGCTGCTGCCGAGAGAGAGAGGGGGCGGGGCGGGCGCTGCCGGCCAAGCCAAGACCAGCAGCCCCTCTCCCTGGCTGCCCGGTTCCAGGACAGCACTTTGGGCCGTTCTTCGAAAGCAGCTCGTCAGAGAGAATCTTTTGTGCGGCTAGATTGTCCTGGAGCGGCGGCAGCAACTGTAGCCTAGACCCTGGAGAAGACAGCCGATCCCCTCCACTTCTTGCCTTCAGCCAGTGATGGCGTAAATCCTGCCCAGGATGAGGCTGTAGGCGACCGGGCCACGGTGGTCCGCATGCCAGATTATTCAAATAAACTGGAGACGTGATCTACGCCCCGCGGTTGCTCAGGGGCGCCTTGCCGGCTGCCCGGCTCCCACGGCCTTCCAGGGAGGTCAAAGACGGAATGGGGAAAGTAGAAGGAAAGGTGGGGAAGGGTGGATAGAGAGAGAGAGAGGGAGAGGGTGTGTGTGTTAGTGAGAGGGAGAGAATATTAACGTTGCAGGAACACAGGGCAGCGTGCTTTCCCCCTGCCTGGCAAGAAGAGGATCTATTTCCAAATTTCACTCCTTGCACAGTGTGCAAAGGGCAGGACGAAGGAGAGGAAAAGGACAGGAGGACAGTGGAGGAGAAAGGAGGGTCTGGGAAGGGAGGGGGAAGCCGAGGTTTTCCTGCGTGCAATTGTAAGTGACTGTTCCTCTGTCTGTCTGCCGGGATGCCTTTGTGTACGGTTCGCAGCGCTTCCCCAACCAGTTCAACAGCGCCCTGCACTTTGGCGGAAGACCCCAGGAGATTCCCTGGCCCCAGTGGAGGGGCGAGGTAGGTGCTTCTCCTCTTGCTAAATCCCCTGTCTCCCTCGCAGGCAACCCAGCTGCCAACTGGCTCCACGCGCGCTCCACGAGGAAGAAGCGCTGCCCCTACACAAAACACCAAACGCTGGAACTGGAGAAGGAGTTTCTGTTCAACATGTACCTCACCAGGGACCGCAGGTACGAGGTGGCCCGGCTGCTCAACCTCACCGAGAGGCAGGTCAAGATCTGGTTCCAGAACCGCAGGATGAAAATGAAGAAAATCAACAAGGACCGAGCAAAAGACGAGTGATTCAACTGGAGTTCATTTAGAAAAGAGTGAGCTAGAGAGAAAGAGAAAGGACTGCCTGATCCTCTCCCACCCCTATTCCCACCCCAGCCTCCACCACCCCGCACAAAGCGGCTCTAA